TTATCATTCATTATTTCTCAGAGTATCCAGATGGTAGTAGGATATAAGGCGGCAATTGTCACTGTGTCTGTTGACCCAATGGGATTACTTAAATAGTCAGCTTTGGGTTTAAATCAGAAAAAATAAAGTTTATTGGTTTTCAGCCCAATAAGTTCTTGAGTTTGCCTTAAGTGAAAATACAATCACTCCCAAGGGTGATAAAAGGGAAACCAGATGAGACTTTTTTGTGCAATCAATAACTGTGCTTCTTTTTAAAGGGTTTTTACATAAGTTTTCACAGAATCCATAAAATCTGCCATTCTGTTAATCCAATTCCATTGATAGAACTGTGAATAGGTCATATTGACTACGGCATCTACAGTTGCATTTAATTAATTTTGTTTCAGAAGTTGAAGTAGTTCAAAGAGCTCATGCTAAGAGACTCTGATTCTAATAAATAATACTACCTTTAGCATTAATTGGGTGGTAACTTTATGTGAGACATCTTGCTAAGTGTTTTACTTGCATTATTTTATTTAATCCTCACAGCGACCCAATGACGTATACCCAACTATCATTTGTATTTTACATATGAAGAAACTGAAGAGGTTTAATAACTTGCACAATAGAAGTTTGTTTGTTATTCCAAATAAATTCACTAGTAATTATTTAGTCTTGGGGACTTTTTCATGCTATTTCAAGTCCCTCTAGAACACTTTATAATTAGTCAAATTGACTTTAGTGTTTTATGATGATTGAGCAAGCTATGTCCCTTTGATTTTCTCATAGAACCACACAGATTGCTAGTCTGTAGCACTGCTGAGATTTGAACCTGCGTGTGTCTTTACAATACCAGAGCTCACGTGTTTAGCCCATTATGCTAGGTTGTTTCTCATTACTAAAACGCTAAATATAAATAGGTGGAAGACAGTCTGGTAGTTCCTCAAAAAAATTAATTACCATATGATCCAGCAATTCCACTTCTAAGTATATGGACCTAAAATCATTGAGAACGGGGACTCGAACAGATATCTGTTCATGAATGTTCGTAGCAGTATTATTCACGATAGTCAAAAGGTGGAAGCCATCAAAAGTTCATCAATAGATGAAAGAATAAACAAAATGTGGTATGTACATACGATGGAATATTATTCAGCCTTCAAAAAGGAATTAAATTCTAATACCTGCTACAATATGAATGAACCTTGAAAACATTATGCTAAATGAAATAAGCCAGATACAAAGGGACAAATAGTACACGATTCCACTTATATACGGTACCTTAAATAGTCAAATTCATAGAGACAGAAAGTAGAGTGGTGGTTGCCAGGACATGAGGGGAGGAGTGAAGAGGGAATGGGGAATTACTGTTTAATGGAGACAGAGATTTAGTTTAGGAAGATGAAAAAGTTCTAGGTGGTTGTGATGGTTGACCAAAACTGAATATACTTAATGCCACTGAATTGTACACTTAAGATAGTTATGATGGTTGACCAAAACTGTGAATATACTTAATGCCACTGAATTGTACACTTAAGAATGGTTAAAATGGTACATTTTGTTATACATACTTTACCGCAATAAAAAAAAAAAAGTAATTAAGACAGGTTTGCACTAAAATACAAAAGCTAGAGCCATAAAACATAACAACAGTATTATTTGAGATCTACTTTGTAAAAGTTGACTTACATTAATCAAATAAGCAAACTCGATTGTGTTCAATAGCACTATAAATCTTACCTTGTATTCACTAAATAAAAATCAACATAAGGAAGAGCCTAATTCTTTCAATACCAGTATCTGATGGAACAATATGAAATACAAAGTGTCAGGATGAATTATAGCAAGAACAACTTATCTCAAGGGGCATCCAATAACAACTTATTCCTTAATATTTTCAGAGTGAATCAAAACACTTCCATGAGCAAGAAATCTTGAATTATTACTTGGGAAAATTGGTTTGAATTTTCTTTTCAAATCTATATATTGGGAATAGTAAATACTTTGAAGGCAATAATAAATATTTTTTCATCACATATTGGGATTCTTTTCAGCAATATTTTTAAAATAATTAAATTGGCTCATTTTAGTGCCCTAGATTCTGGCCCAATTTGATTATTTACTTTGAAATATGGAGATCAAAATGATATAAGCATTAATATCCTTTGATTAGTCAGTGCTTTTTTTCTTCATTGTTTTTGCTTGTTGGTCAGAAGCTTCATAGCAATCAAATAAAAATTTACCTTGTGCTTAATCTAGAGCTATCAAAGGAGCCAAATCAACTTTATGTGATTTATTGATTAAAAAATTAAATACAGTCTCTTTTTTTTTTTGTAACATACAAACTCAACTTATCAGAATGTTATAACTATTCATTCCCAATTTTGTCCTTGTTTGGACTTTGGACATGCTTTTCCTGTGCTTGAACTATTCCCATGTCATTGCATGAGAGGCTTCTTCTCACATTTCTGACTTCAACTCAAATGTCACCTCGGAGAGGCCAACCCTGACCATATTCTATCTAACATGGTCTCCACCATCACCCTGTCACTCTGCATAAGATCACTTAGAGTCATTTCCTTGGTGATACTTTAACACTCTCTGAAGTTATCCAGATTTGCTCCCTTGGCTATTGCTTGCCTTCCACCATTAGAAATGAGCTCCACAAGGCAGGGCAAGGGCATCTTGCTTTCCACTCTCTTCCTCTTGTCTAACAGACAGACAGGCTCATAGTGGGTGGATTTGCTCTTCTTCTTCTGCCTTGAAACTGTGTGTATAAACAGACTCAGAGCACAGACATACTGCTCAGCTCAGCTCTTTATGGGTGCTGCCATGGGCTGATCTCAGTGGGCTGGGGGACAGGACAACACAGAGGGGGCAACCCTGAGTGTGTTAAGAAAGACCTGCTTGTTCCTTAAACCTAATTCTACCCCAACATGTTTTTCCAGAGTTCCTTGAAAGGACTAATAAAATGGTACCTTATTTCCCATTTGCCATACTCCCTTGGCTCTGTAGCTTTCTTGGGTAGGCACTCCATGAGAAGATGGGCTGACTAAATTAAGGAAGATTTAGACATTTATGTGTTTTCTCATTATAATGCTACCCTAATACCTTAAAATGACACATATCCTTAGCAAGTTACAAGCATGAAGCTGGCCTCTCTTTCCTTCTCTGCTCTCTGAGGACCAACCTCATGCAAGCATCAGCTCTGAATCCATAGGAAGCATAGTGAACCAACCAGATGAAATCTAGACCTACTTGTCTTCCCATTTTAGAGATGGAAAAAATCAAGAAACATCTTTGCCTTTACTACATGATAAAGCAAAGCAAGGTAACAGAAATAAGAGTAGAAAAAAGTTTTCTTAAGACCATTTTCTAACTATGTAATTTCAGGGTTACTATTCAGAATTTTGTAGTCATGATGTGCCTCTAAATTAATAATGACTACGTGGGAACAAGACATCCCGATCAGTCAGATATTTTGTTTTTAAAAGGATCCATCCAAAGGCTCAAAAACTAAGATTATAGCAGGCTTCTAGTTGTCCTTGCACCTATGGCAAACAGCTAATTCTCCCCCTTTTGTACCAAAACAAAACTCCTTATTATTAGAAGGTTCATGGCCACACAAGGTAACAAATTAAATTTCCCAGTCTCCCTTGTAACTAGGTATGTGCATGTGAATGACAGTGACAAGCTACAACCAGATCATATGCTTAGAAGGAGTAGGCACAGCCTTCCCCACCCTCTCCTTTCCCACTGGGTGTAATTCGGAAGTGGTGGTGAGCTATTCTAAGGCACAAGGGTGAGAGTGACCAGAAAAGCAGCCAGCTTATTGCAGCCAGGGTTCCCAATATGTGGAGCCATGTAACACCTGGGTTACTTATGTCTAAATGGTTCCATGAGAAAGAGAAATGTGAGATGGAAAACATGTCCACCTTGTTTAAGCCACTGTTATCTGTAGTTTCTGTTCCAGCAATCAAACTTACCTTTAACACAATTGACTTTCTTTGAGGATTTAGATGTTACTTCATTTTTGCAAAGTGGCTTTAGGATTTCAAGATGATAAACTTTTTGAGTTAAAAAAGACCTTTGAGGTTAGCCTGTCCCTCACTTTTTTGACAAAGAAATTGAAGGTAGAGGGAATAGATCAACTTCTGAAGCCTCACAGGTTGCTGGTTGTAGGACTAGTGCTCAGATCTCCTGAACTTCAGCATATTGTTCTTTTCTGTTGTGGTCCAATTAGCAGAATTCCCCAGAAATGACTCTGGGGTTCCCTCTGGGAGGCGTGGACAACTTACTAGCTGGGACCTGGGGCTTTCTTTTTCCCAGGCAACCTATAAACAGCTGCTACCCTGCAGATTCTGACAAAGCTGCTCAGACTTCCACTATAGGAAGAAAGAGCAACCGGGGAGACCCATGCTTGGTTTCTGGCATGCTCACTGTGGGATGATGGAAGAATCCACATCCATGCCCTTAATTCTTTTCTTGCTGAGCCTGACCTTGAAAGTTTCCCTTTTCTCCAATAACACTATTGTTTTTACTGTGACTTAGCACTGTGGAATTTGTCTGGGACCCTGGGGCATGGCAGTTGAAAGTTCAAAGGATACCTACTTGCATGGCTTCATTCTTAAATGCTATGAGTATCCATTATCATTCATACACAATTTTATAATACAGGAAATTTTCTATAACAGTTATTAGTGGGGATAACTTCAACCATCAAAGGAACACAGAGAACAAACAAATCATTTACTTTCAAGGTCTTCTGTCAACCAGGTGCCCAACCACAGCTCTCGTTGGGCAAATAGCATTGGTACAGTCGTGATTAAGAAAGCTGACCCAGGTCCTATGGAAAGTGGAAAGTAAAATCTAGCCACTAGCGTGCAAAGTCCTCAGGCTTACCCTTGCATTTCTACCCTTTTTAAAAAGTTCTTGCATTGCAATATACTTATAAAGCTAAAAGTTTATATTTGAATTCTGAAAAATTCTGTATTTTATACAGCTATCACAACACTTCTTACCATCCTCATTTTCATCAAACACTGGGGGTTTGCTTGAAGTGTTGGCGCCCATGGTCGTCTGCCTAGACCTGGATCCTCCAGTTACATGATCCTGGCAGAAATATCCATCTTCATTCAAAAGAGGTCTGGAAGCCTTAGCTAAGTGTCAAGGAGAGAAAAAGAAATGATAGCCTTATAATGCCTAACAAATGGCTTAGTCTGGGTACCCTGAGTACACACTTGGCCGGAATATTAATTTGTACTAATGTGGCAGAATTTTTTTGTGCTTGAAAATAATTTCAGAAATAGAACATCAAGCATATGGAAAAATCCACTACATGGCCTCATCAATAGTGGACCTAGGCTTAAAAAGAAGGAGAAAAGCCAAATATTTTTCTAAGTATAAAGACAACTTTAAAATGAAGTCAGCAATGCTTTCACAACTATAAATTAAAAATGATGTTTTATTGTGACTCCATATTTTTGAGAGAATATGTTGGTTTTAAACTTTTTTTGATGTGCGACTAACAGCTTTAATTTTTTTTAATTATAAAAATGTTCCTTCTCTCTTTTTTCTACCCTGGAAAGTGCTACAGCATGAAAGGAACAAAGTCTGAGTTTGGGCTTTACCACCCCAGCAAGTTGTAAATTTCACTAAACATGCTATTTTTCCTTCTCCTGAACTTGAAGATGACAATGGTCCTTATCTCAAAGGCAAATTGCGTGCTATTTACTAAAATAATATGTAAAGTATTTTAACTGCACAAGTGCTCAATAATTGTTAGCTAATCTGAAGTTCAAATGATATCCATGAGAGCTAAAAAGCCCTGGGGAAAAAAAAAGTACATTCATGGCTTTTTTTCATTTTTAAACATAATTGCAAAATATTTTACTTTTCCTGAAATTGGGAAGGAGAGGCGGCATCCAGACTCCTAGCTCTAAAACGGACACTGATAATGGCTTTGGGCCAGTTATGTAACATGTCCCCTCTAAAATGAAGGAAACAAGAGTGCAAACTCAGATGCTTCCAAGAGCCATGGAGAAATGCAAATGAGTGAACTGGACCGGGTGGAAGACATTAGGCCCGGTAGGGACCCTGGTACCCTGGGGAACCCGGGCTCCATCTAAAGGAGGTCGCTCCTCTCAAATCTAAGACATTGTCACCAAGTGGAAAGATGGGCCCAGAGGCCAGGGCTTCAGATCTAACTGATTTTATACAAATTATTTAAAAATTCGTTTTAGCTACATGACCTGAGCTAATCTCATGCATGGGATAAATATCACTCATGCAGATAGCTAATGAGACAATGTATGGAAAGCAACCAGCATAATGCCTGGCACATAATAGACAAAGAATAAATGTTAGCTACGGCTATTTTTAATAGTAGCAATATTTCTTTATTATGCATTATTTTCATTTATCACCTGTTGACGGATTGTGCTCTCGGACTTTTTTCAAATATAGATTAGAAGTGTCCCTGAAGAAAGTATCCCAAAGGACGCTGGCCTGAGGATGTTACTGAAAAAGAACTTAAGAAGCCCCTCAGCAAGACTAGAAGAAAAGCTTATTTTTCCTAGGAAAAGGTAAGTAGAGCCTTCATTTGGAAGGCAGACTCATTAAAGAAATGCTACTTTTCATATTAAAAGCCAACTCCTGGCAAAGTGCCTTATGAACTTTAAAAAGAATCATTAAATGGAGAGCACAGAGTCAGCAATTAAGAAGCAACCAATTAAATGGTATGAGAGAGGGGTGGGGTGAGGGCAGATGGCAACAGGTGGCTGGAAGAAAGCCCACGGGGATTACTGAGATGCGGAAGACAGAAAGAACTCAACTGTCCCTCCAGGCTAAAAAAAATAAAAAGGAGGGATGGTGGCTTTTAATTCCAGCGGAAGGAGGGTAGGAAGAAGCAAGTGGGATGCCTTAGTGTTTCATTGTGGGCCAGGGAGAAGGGAATGTGGTGCCCTGTGTGTTCTGTTATTGCATTTAGAGTCCAGAACAAGTGGGGGCTGGTAAGAGCTAAACTGCAGATGACATTAGAGAAGACTGGTCCTAAAGAGAATATTGATTTTAACACAGCAGACTGGGGCTACTTTCTCTTTCTTTTTGTACATAAAGCTCCAGTACACATGATTTTCACACCACACCCCAATCCTGCCATTTTTATATATTTTCTTCACACCTCAGCCTTCTCTCAAGTAGCCCGTCTTCCTGCAACTTCAGATGTACCAAGCATTGACCTTGCACGTTGTCAAGTCAGAAAGAGAAAGAGAGAGGAATATTATCACAATTTGCCCCATTTCAGAATTTCATTCTGAAGTGCAGACAATTTGTTCACCAAAGATTTAGTGATTTTAGCAGGAAGAAACTATGCAAGCAGGGAATTACTTTAGTGTATGTTTGGGGGAGGGGAAGGTAGATGGAATTATTGATGTTGGCTTCTCCATTACACCTAACATGCCCAATCCAGTTTAGAATAGTCTTTCTCTTATCCTCATGTAAATGACCAAATTACACAACTTTCCTTCATATCCAGAAAGAAATTAACCTTTCTCTGCTAGGAAAATGCAGACACATCTTTCCCATTCTGCTAAATAAGGCTCAAAAGAGCCATAGGACTCTTTCTCTTCTACCAAATCCTACCTCCTTCCAGACCTCCTGGTACTAAGTCAGCAGTGTAACATAAGAATCATTTCCAGATGTCAAGAGGAGAGTCACCATCCATGGAAATGAACATCCTAAACGTAGAAAATATAAGAGAAAGGATGTGTCTTATGGGAACACAGACGGTTTTCAGATTCTTGACCCAGCCAATTATCAGATTATTAACTGTACACTCCTTCTCTAATGCCAATATTTGACCCTTGGGCTATACTTTTGGAGGCTGTCAACAGGTGAGCTTTTCTAAGCAGCTGAGTAAGTCTCCCTAGGTAGAGAGGGGTCATCTTCAGGAATTAAAGAATCTAAGATGTGAAGCAAGAAAGTTGCAACTTCTGACAACTCTTTACGTTTCATTGCAACAAGCATATGCATAGACAGATATACCTTATTTTGTTTGCATTTGAAAAGAACTTCTTAAACTGAGAAATATTTAGAAACATAGGGAAGAAAGAAAACATTATGAAAAACACCCAAGTTAACATCTTTCTTAGTCATATTGTTTATATTTTATCATCTTTGCTTCATCATTTTGTATATTCAAAGTTATGGATAAACAGTATTTCCACCCTAACCTTCATGCCAAATTCATTCCCTTTCCATATTTCTCCAGGACAGCTACAATCATGAATCTGGGATACATTTTACAGTCTACTTTCTATGTCTTTACAACACGAGTGTTTTAAAGGAAGTCACCTAAAGGACGTCCTAGCATAGGTATATTTTGCATCTTACTGTGGTCATTTATCATTATACTTCTGCGATCTAGGCGTGTTGATCTCCACAGTTCTGATTTCTGCTTTTTAAGTGCCGCATAACAGTCCTTTGTGTGAATACACCATATTTTCTTTCTGTGTAAACTGTTTAAATCCTTCGGCTTTTGGGGTGGGGTGGTGGGGAAC